TTTAAACCCAGTTCCAGTTAAAATCATTTTTAAAGACATTTTTCCAACAGTTTTCAAACAAAGGCTCAATGCAAAGGAGAGAAAAAATGATTAAATAATGAACATCCCCTCGGGCAAACCTCACAGTCACTCGTGCCACTCGGGCATACCTCATAATCACTCTTGCCACTCGGGAATACCTCACAATCACTCTTGCCACTCGGGCATACCTTACAATCACTCTTGCCTCCCAGTCACTCGGCACTCGGCACTCGCACTTAGTAGGTACTTGCGCTCACTAAGGGTGTGTACAGACTCTGAAGGGGCTCCTTCAACCCAAGCGCTATAATCTGAGAGGATGGTAAGAAACAGCCCCTAAGGGTCCAAACAGCATTGGCGCAAGGCCCAAACATGGCATTCAGCCCAATTTACAGAAATTCCTTCTAAAACATATAAGTATCAAATGGTTTCAACAAAGTATGCAACTTTACAATTGCTATAGGACGGACCAAGTCACAATTCCCCAATAGTGCACGCTCACACGCCCGTCACCTAGCATGTGCGTAACTTCAAAATAGTAGAATGATACGAAATCCGGGGTTTCATACCCTCAGGACCAGATTTACAATCGTTACTTACCTCAACCCACGAAATTCTTATTCTGCAATGCCCTTTCCTCGTGAATTGATCTCCAAACGTCTCGAATCTGGTCATAAATAATTCGTTTCAGTCAATAAAATTCATTGGAATTAATTCCACAAGATAATAATGATTTTCCATAAAAATCCAAAAATTAGCTCAAAAATTGCCTGTAGGGCCCACATCTCGGAACTCGACAAAAGTTACAAAATCTGGAAACCCATTCAACCACGAGTCTAACCATACCAATTTTACAAAAATCCGACCCCAACTCGACCCTCAAATCTTCGATTTAAACTAATAGGGTTTTCAAATTTACCCAAATCAATTCACCAATTAAATGATAAAACAACCATGGATTCAGGTAATTTAACCAATATTGAGTTAAGAATACTTACCCCATTGTTTCCTCTGAAAATCACCCAAAATCGCCTCACTTCCGAGCTCCAAATCGCCAAAAAACTGAAAATGGGACGAAGTCCCATTTTCAAAACTTAAACTCACTGTCCAGACGTTTCTTCTTCGCGAACGCGGTCAGTGCCTCGCGTTCGCGAAGCACAAAATAGCTCCCGTCCAAATTCCTCCTTCGCGAACGCGACATTACCCTCGCGTTCGCGAAGTACAAAAATGCCTCTGCCTCAATGCCTTTTATGCGAATGCGTTCGAGCCATCGCGAACGCGATGCTTCTTTCCCCCTCACTATGCAAACGCGACACCCCCTACGCGAACGCGTAGACCAATTGCCTGGGGTCTTTGGCTGCTTCCTCTCTTCTTCGCGAACACGCAACACCTCCCGCGTCTGCGATGCACACCCCGTCCACCCTTCGCAAACGCGAAGAGAAAATATTGCCAGCCTCTCAGTTCCCCTTTGATAACGCGAGGCTCCACTTGCGAACACGATGAAGGAAACCAGATGGTGCATCAGAAAAATTCCAGCAGAGTTCCAAGTCAAAAATCCAACCCGTTAACCATTCGAAACTCACCCGAGCCCCTCGGGACCTCAACCAAATATACAAACAAGTCCTAAATATCATACGGACTTAGTCGGACCCTCAAATCACCTCAAACAACACTAAAACCATGAATTACACCCCAATTCAAGCCTAATGAACTTTGAAATTTCTAATTTCTACAAACAACTCCGGAACCTATCAAATCACGTCCGATTGACCTCAAATTTTGCACACAAGTCCTAAATACCATAACAAAGGTATTCCAATTTCCAGAATCGGATTCCGACTCCGATATCAAAAAGTCAACCCTCCGGTCAAACTTTTCAAAAAAATAAAACTTTCGACATTTCAAGCCTAATTCCTCTACGGACTTCCAAATAATATTCCGGACACGCTCCTAAGCCCAAAATCACCATACAGAGCTATTGGAATCATCAAAATTCAAATCCAAGGTCGTTTACACATAGGTCCATATCTGGTCCACTTTTCTCACTTAAAATTTTTAATTATGAGACTAAGTGTCTCATTTCACTCCGATTTCCTTTCGGACCCGAACCAACTTACCCGATATAACATAATATAGCTGAATAACACAAAAAGAAGTAGGAATGGGGAAAAGAGGGTTATAACTCTTGAAACGATCGGCCGGGTCGTTACAAGTTTCCTCCTAATTTCAAGTTTACCAAAGGCAAGAGAATTGCAACCAATATGACTACAGAAAGTGAATTTCCCAATGATTCCAACTCAAATTCATCTGGCCTCACTCCTAATGCCAACAATGGTATTATTGTATCTTCTGAGCGTCAAAGGTCTGCAGTACCTGGTGTAACACAGCAGCAGTACACTCAGTTGATAAATCTGCTTCAGCAATCTCAACCATCTGATTCAATCACTCCACCTCATCTCATGACATCTGCCAATTTTGCTGGTATAGTATTGTCTAATCCTATAGTGTCTGGTTCTAGTTCTTGTATGCTGACACAAACCACCAACTCTACAAAGTTAATCTGGATAATTGATTCTTGTGCCACTGATCACAAGACCTCAAATAAAGTTGTCCTTTTCAATATAATTCCCTTAACTATTCCTTATCTAGTATCTCTTCCAAATGGCTATATCTCTTCTGGGTTCCATCTCACTCTCTTTTGGTCCGAAGCTGATAGGAAGTGAAAGTCGCTGAGGTAAGTTCCGATAGAGCTAGGTTCCGAGTATTCCTATCATTTTTTCTTAAAGGTTACTCTTTGAACTTACTCACTTCTTACCTACTAGACCGATTGCCATGAATGGATGAAGAGGCTTGACTTTAGCTACAGGGCCGGGGGAACAAATAGGCATGGGGAAGAGTCTGCAACAAAATCAATTGAATAGACAGAGAAGTCCGGTAAGCCTATCGATTCAAGCAAGTCCGATTAGTTTAGGCGCCACCTTCCATACTTCTAAAAGTGGGTGATTTTAAGTCCTGAGCCTATTCCGGTTACAGAGTGCGGGTAGCCGACAAGTAGGTTAGCAAACTGGTTAATCAATAGGCAGATGTCACACCTTATCATTCCTAAATATCTTACTAATTGAATTAGGTCAGTTATTAATTTTAATACCTGTGATAACTTACATTCTCAGGTGTAGGGTTTGGGATATACCAAACTTAGCTGATCTAATCATTGATTATTTAAAACACTTTCAATTCTAGATAGTTTTCCATGACCAGTATAGGTTCCTACTCATTAAATGAATCTATCACTTTACACAATGTCCTTTATGTCCCTTCTTTTCATCATAACTTAATATCTGTGAATAAAATGGTACAATAATTGCGTTGTATAGTTCTGTTCACTCATATTGGATATTTTATCCAGGGCCATTTTCTGAAGAAGCCTCTGGAGCTTGGTAGAATGGATGATGGACTCTACAAGTGAGAGTTGCCTTTGACATCTCTCCCACACAACTCTGTTGCTGAAAATTTTAATTCTTGCAGCTTATATTCTGATCTTTCTAATCACACTCCCACCTCTGTAAATACTTCCATTTCCACTTGTAATAAAGCTGCACAAGATGATATGGACATTGTTTGGCACCAAAGACTTGCACATGTTCCTTTGTGAGAATGAAAATTATTTCTGTTATCTATGTTTCTTCTAAACAATGTTTTCCTTGTAATGTATGTCCTATGGCTAGACAAACTAGGTTGCCCTTCCCTGATAGTAGTATTCAGACTAATAAACCTTTCCAACTTATTCATGTTGACACTTGGGGACCTTATCACACCCCTACTTACTATGGCTCTAGATACTTTCTAACAATTGTGGATGATTTTAGTAGATCTACTTAGACTCACTTAATGGGGTCTAAAAGTAATGCATTTTCTATTCTAAAAGCTTTTGTTCTCATGGTCAAAATTCAATTCAATATGAATGTTCAAACCATTAGAAGTGACAATGCCTTGGAGCTTGGGTCCAGTCACTTGGCCATTTCCCTCTTGGGTCCAGTCACTTGGCCATTTCCCTCTTCTCTGATAATTGCATCATTCATCAAACCAGCTGCCCTCACTCACCACAACAAAATGGTGTGGTAGAGAGGAAGCATAGAACTCTACTTGAAGCGTCTAGATCACTTCTCTTTCAGTCCAAACTACCACTTAGATTCTGGGGTGATTGCCTATTAACAACCACTTACATCATCAATAGACTTCCTTCTAAATTACTCAACAACAAATCACCTTTTGAAATATTATATGGGAAAGTCCCATATTATTCTCACCTAAGATCCTTTGGTTGCTGGTGTTATGCAACTGTACCAATTCCACAAAGAGATAAGCTCCAACCAAGGGCCATGAGACGTATATTTCTGGGATACCCTTTTGCCAAAAAGGGATACAAGCTGTATTGTTTAGATACTCACAAATTTTTCATTTCTAGAGATGTTGTCTTTCATGAGCTTGTATTTCCTTTTGATAAATCTTCTCCTTCTCCATCTCCTGCTCTACAGTCCCATACTCTTCCTCCCAGTGTTGTGCTGGATCCTTTTAATGACACTATTAATTCTGCACCTTCTCAGCCACCTACTCTTGTTGTTCATGTCAACAGTCCCTATCCATCCTCTCATGTATCACCCTCTATTACTTATACTATTTATAGTTCTAATTCTCCAGCTGCACCTTCTGCTTATCTACATACTCCACCTAATTCTCCTACTGTTTCCAATCCTTCTTTCTCTATTCAATCCCCAACTTTCAATCCTGACATCCTTCCTCCTATTCTTGTACATAATGCCCCTCCATTAAGGAGATCTGACAAACCACACCATCTTCCATCCTATTTGCAGGACTATAAATGTCAGCTACCTGCCTTTTTTTCTTGTTCTTCTGCTCAGCCCACTGAATCTGAACCATACACTTATGCTCAGGCAGCACCTATTCCACCCTAACAAGAAGCAATGAGAAAGGAGTTTGAGGCACTAGATGCCGGTAAGACTTGTGATATTGTTGAACTACCTGCTGGAAAAAAACCTATTGGGTGCAAGTGGGTCTATAAAATAAAGTATAAAGCAGATGGTAGTGTAGAAAGGTATAAAGGAAGGCTTGTGATTAGGGGTGATACACATGTTGAGGGAGTGGATTTCACTGAAACTTTTTCACATGTTGTGAAGTTGTCTACTGTTAAATGTCTTATAGTTGTTGCTATCAAGCAAGGTGGGTCTCTGTTTCACCTTGATATGAATAATGCTTTCCTTCATGGTGATTTATATGAAGAGGTTTAAATGAAGCTTCCTCAAGGTCTTTCCATTTCTTCATCTTCCTCATCTGCCCCCTTAGTTTGCAAGCTAAAGAAATCCCTCTATGGCTTGAGGCAAGCTTCCAAACAATGGTATGCAAAGTTGTCCCAAACTTTTATGTTCAAGAGGGCACTCATTCCTTAAATGACTATTCCTTATTTGTAAAAGGGTCTTCTGGTGATATTGTAATTCTTGCTGTATATGTAGATGATATCATCTTAACAGGGAACAATCTTGTTGAGATTTTTGCTTAAAAGGAATTTTTGGATAATGAGTTTAAAATAAAAGATTTGGGTCTGTTACACTATTTCTTGGGCATTGACGTCAGTACTTCTCCTGATGATGTCTTCCTAAATCAAAGAAAGTTTGTCTTGGATTTACTTAAAGAATATAACTGTTTGGAGGTGACCCCTGTTGTTTCTCCTTTGGATTTGAATTCCAAGTTAAAAGCTGGTTCTGGGGAGTTGTTTGCTCATCCTGAAAGGTATAAGAGTCTAATTGGCAAGCTTCTATTCTTGACTCATACTTGACCTGATCTCTGCTTTGGTGTGACTGTTGCCTTCCATATGTTGGGATACATGAAAGGCACCATTGATGTTGGGCTATTCTACTCTAACTCTCCTGATTGCACTCTCACATCATATTCTGATAGTGATTGGACAGCTTGTCCTGATACTCGCAAGTAGGGATGTTTATAAAAAACTGATATTTTTAGGTTTGGTTTGGTTTTGGATTTAAATTTTAAAAACTGATCAAATTTGGTTTGATTTTGGTTTTAATCAAAAAATAACCGAAAAAATCGAACCAAACCGACTATATAGGTAGCTATTTAAATTTATTATTACACCTATATATATGTATATTTTTATATAAAGTTTCTAAAATTTTATGGTACATATTAGCCATTTGTATTTTTAGTCTAGTTCTTTGCTATTATAATAATCTAATTCTTTGCCTTCTAGTTTGATTGGTAGTTTTCTTTTACTAAGTACAAAAATTTATTTCATGTTAAAAATAATCGATTTTTAATTGAGTACTTAAGTTATTCATCACTATTTGAATCATTTATCATCAATATATCTTGGTAAATGATGGATTTCTCAAAGAGCAATTGGTTTGATAGCATTACGTTGAAAATGTAGTCGCCGGAATATGCTGTTGGTAGTATATGTCTCATATTTAAGAAAAAAGTCGACAAATAACTGAAAAAACAAATAACCGACAAAAACCGAATCGATAAAAACTGACTTAATTGGTTTGGTTTGGTTCCAATATTTGAAAAACCGACTTACTTGGTTTGGTTTTTTTTAAGGGAAAAATCGACCCAAACCGAAATATGAACATCCTTACTCGCAAGTCTGTTTCTGGTTTTTGTGTTTTTTTGGGTGACTGTTTGGTGGCCTGGAAATCTAAGAAACAACATGTTGTTTCCCTCTCCTCATCTGAGGCAAAATATAGGGCTCTCTAGAAAAAGTGGTGGCTGAACTAACTTGGCTCACTATGCTGCTTCTTGACCTTTCTGTTCCTATTTCTTATCCTGTTTCTGTTTTTTGTGACAATCAGGTTGCCATTCACATTGCTAAGAACCCTGTGTTTCATGAGAGAACCAAGCAAATCGAAATGGATTGTCATTTTGTCAGGAAGAAGTTAGCAGATGGCTTGATCCAGTTGTTTCATGTTTCCACATCGAATCAACTTGCCGACATCTTCACTAAGCCTCTTACTGGTATACTTCATCAGTCCTTCTTGTCCAAGTTGAAGGTGTTCTCCCCCTCCAACTTGAAGGGGGGGAGGGGGATTGGTCTATCCGACTACTTGGCCGCGGGCCCAATAAGGCAGCCTTAATGACTTTGCCAGATACTATTTTATTTGTACATAGCCATTAGTTGATTAGTTAGGCTTCTTTTGTAATGAACACTTATTTGTAAAAGAAATACATATAAATAGAAAAGGGCTGAATGGATAATTCAGTTTTTGAGCCACAAATCACTTTCTCTTATTTTCTTTCTTCTCGAACATTCTACAGAAAACCCTAACCAGCTTCTTCCCAAAATCCCGCTTGATTCAGGATGTTCACAATGTCCAAAACCGAACCGTAACCATTAATCGAACTGCAAAAATGGCTTATTGGCTTATTGGTATCGGATTATCATGGTAATAGTTGGTGAACATATTAAAATTTTATAATTAATGGCTTAACGGTTTGTGGTCGAATTACTCAATTTCCTTATCGGATAAACCGTTAACCCGTTATGAATTTTTATATTTATACTTTTACCTCTATGGTCTTCTACATGGTTGATCAGAGATTTGCTGCCATTGTCTTCTGCATCAATATTCAGCTGGTCATTTTCCCCTACTTGTTCTGCTCATATTTTTAGTCATAATATCCATGTTTGATAAGAGGAAGCAGCTGGTAGTCACATTTCTCAGGTTTTCGTGATCTTTCGTATTCATATAACTGTTAAGCATGGGCGGATTTAGGAGGCCGGATCGGGGTGTGAACCCCCTTTCGCTGAAAAATTACACTGTATATATAAGGCAAAATTTATTTTTTACCTCTATATATTAAGTTTTGAATCCCCTTGACATAACCCAAAAGTGTAGCTTAGTGGTCAAGGGGGTTCAAAATCTTTGAAAGATTCATAGGTTCAATTCCCACTAACCACGATCTTTTTTTTTCTTGAACCCCCTTCGCGGAGATCCTGGCTCCGCCACTGCTGATAAGGTAGCCAACGCGTAGAACATGTTAGGTTCAAAAATAAATCTTCTAACATATTTGCTTAGCTAGATAGCGATAGCTTCATTTGAAGTCTGAAGTCACACAAAATGACAAATTCTCTCGTTCTTTACTTTTCTTTTATTGTCTGTTTTGTTTAGCCGATAAACCGTCCGATAATCATTAATCTGATACCAATTCGTCTGATGTCTTATTGGATCCCTTGTGGATTACTACATTTATAAAGCGATAAACCGATAAGTCGAACTGTTAAGTATAAATAACCGCTCGATCCGTCTGATAAGCACCCCTACAGCATAATGCATCCTTCTCTTTTGGTGGAATTTCAGGAAAAAGAAATTTACATGGAATAATTCATGTATGATTGATAAAGAGAAAACTTTCAGTTTAATTCTCTATAAATAAATGAATTTCTATGGTACACATATATGATTACCGTCTCTTTAAAATTTGTTATGAATAAATACGATTTAGACATGAGTTTCATAATTTTTTTTATGGGGTACTCATTTTTTTTTTTTATGAATGTAAAATTTATAACAAGTATATTCTCTCTCTTTTTCTTCCCAACTTGACTAGGTGGAAGATATGAGAAACCATTTTTAAAAGTGAAGTTACAAGAGTTTCAAAAAGAGAATAGTATTACCCAAAAAATGGTTACAATATTTTTCTTTCTTTTTCTTTGAGAACTTGAACGTTGAAGTGTTTAAAAAGAAATAACCCTAGAGCAGAACATTTAAATTACCATTACGAAAAAATATATGTCCAATATCATAAATTTATCCAAAAAGTAGTAAAGAATATAGGGCAAATAGTTGTACTCCGCTGCTAACAAATTTATGATTTTCTTGCGCTTTCAAATAAAGTTTTTCCAAATAACGCAAAAAATTAACTCATCGCACCGACCTAACTAAATTTAATTGTTCAATATTTTAGGTTTAGAAGATGTCTACTCAATTAGCATACAGTAATCAAGTTATTCAAATAATTAAATTGATTGTTCGTCACTTTGAATTAGTAACTTTTCTCTTCAAATTTACTGTTTTACTAATTGACATGGGATTATATATGCAACGCACGTGTTCAGAAACTAGTTATGTGTTAAATGTGTGTAAAAACAAATAAATTTTTATGGGGGGATTTTTTTTGTCCAACTAAACTAATATGCAATTACCAATATTATTATGAGAAATAATTGTTATTGTGTATTAACACATTTCAATATTTCATACTTCCTTAGAGTACGTAACAATATCAAGTGGTTGTAAAATTGTAGTCGTTGTATTGTACAACGTTACCAGATCTCTTTTAGTATGTTCTAAAAAGAATAATATCTTTCAATATAAATAATTTAAATTTAAACCTCTCATCTTATTCTTAATGAAATGATTTATAGCAATATAAATATTTGGACCATTAAAATTTTATTATTGTTTCTTAAACTTTGTGCTCAATCAAACATTCTCACCTAAATTAAAACAAAGAATGTATATGAGTTTATTGTTGGTATTTTAAGTTTGTGTAGCTTAAAAATGGTGAATGAGAAATGGAGGAAAAATGAAATATTTGAGTTTCCCTCCTTGGCAAGGGACATTGTCCCATATTGGAGGAAGAAAAAGCTTTTGATGGGTATATATATAATTGTTCTTCTTCTAGCTCTTAATGAGCTAAGAAGAAGGCAAGCCTTGCGTCGTCGTCGTTCGCTCGGCTTTGGATTTGGATTTGGTCAAAGATTGATTGATTAATCTTTTTGGACAAAATTCCTTTTAATTATTTAATTAATTAATTAAATAATTAACAAAAAATTCAATCCGGAATAACCCGCGACCCGGTCATTTCAGGCCCGTTTTCTTTCCCAAATTATTTTAAATCCGTTTTCCCGCAATATTTCAAACAACTTGTTCCAACAGCCATGGCTGTTTCTGAAAGGTTGCAAACCTTTTCAGAAACAATGCCAGCAACTCTATAAATATACTTTGAATCTCAGAATCTTTCCTTACAAAATTTTCTGATCTTCTTCTTCTTCTTCTTCTTCTTCTTCTTCTTTTGCACAACAATTCCAGTATATTTTACAGCCTTCGAGTGGCTCGTTGTTCACCGGCGTTTTTGGTACCAACACTCCGGTGAGTTAAATCGTTCTATCCTGGAAGGATATATTCCAGCACCTCGGGTACTTGAGGGGAATAATTTCTTTAAGGACACACTGCGTATTCAGTGGGCTCGATTTATTCCTATACTATTTTTC